CCCTACATTATCATTCAAGCTGATTTTCATTATAATTCAAGACTAAAAACTTATTCTTAAATTTTAATCTGTTCCACCTTCAAACCTAACCTCCTATTAATTTTTACCGTCTCAAGGGTCATGTTTTTAACTATTTAGTTTTCACTGGATGTTTATCATGAAAAGCTGTCCAGTCAATGACTGGTTTTAGATTTCTCCATTCATAGCCTAGTTATTTTAAAAAAAATGTGGTTTTAGCTAAGAGTACGTAAGAGAAGTTGTCTTGGTGGTTTTAAGAAAAAATAAATTTTTATGGAAGTACTCATTAATATTGGGAACTGAAGCTAAAATTAAAACTTTAACTATTTAGAATGAAAGGGATTTGTTTTTTTCTTTTATTTGGCAGGGGGAGGGGTGGGGTGGGGAAAGCAGGAGTGGTAGAAATAGAACAGCAGCTGTTGAAATGTAAAGTAAAATGAAGCACATCCATTTCTAAATCTGCTCTAAAGGATATCCAAAGCCAGATTTTTGAGCGCCATCACCTGAAAACGTCACAAGTATTTTCAGAAGAAATTGTAAATGAAGTTGACTCTAAAGAAAGGTGGTATCTTTTCCTCTTAGTTTACTTATAAAGCTGAAAGCAAGGCATAGTCAGCATTATTATCACTTATATGTGTTATTATTCACTCTTACTGAGGAGTCCTCAAGTTGATGAAAATGTTAGCAAAAGGTTTCTTGTATTCCATCTCCCCAAAGAAACAGCAATACTACATGACAAGGCAGAGAAAAAGTCTTCCCAGTTTCTCTTCCCCATCAAAACAAAGTTCATTTTCATACTCTCTCGGCCTGCAGGTCTTGTCTTCTCAACGCTTGATCTATTACTTTGATTCCTATTTCCTCAAGAGCTTCTGCAGATTCTACACAATTCCAGTACCTAGTGGTTCCTCACAGCAGGAGAGACCAGTCAGACAAGAATACACCATGCAGCCTCTACAAAGCAAAAAAGAATTCCTCACCAGTGGTTGGAATGACACACTGGAAACCAAGTTCATTTCTTGCTTATAATTGCCTCTCTACTTTCCAGGCTTGTTTAAGAGAAAGAAAGGCACAGAGTTTTCCAAACAAGTATACAGCTATGCAGGAAAGAAATATTAATGAAAACCATACACTGCAAGACTCCCAACTTAGTAATTTTATCTACAGCATTTTTCACTTCATGGAAGGCCTCAACTACAAATCATCTCTGGAAGTTTAATGGTAAATGCTAATTTTCCACAATGAAAAAAGGACACTTCAACCAGAAACTTACTTATTAGCAGAATTTTTAATAACTGTCGAAGAATCTGAGCCACTTCCCCAGAAATATCATACTACCTTGAAGTAATCTCTCTCCCTTTCTCCAGATTTTAATGAAAAAAACCCAAAATTCCTGTTCAAACTAAGGACTGATCACTAAGCTTCCACTCTTTTTGGTGTGGGTTTGGGGTTGGTTTTTTTTTTTTTTTTGGGGGGGGGGGGTGGTTTTTTTTTGCTGGGGTGTTTTGCTTGTTTGTTTGGGTTTTTTCAGGTTATAGGACCAAAACCATAAAGCAAGCAAAAAGGTGGCACAGTTGATTTTGCTCAAATCACACCACTTAATAGACCAAGTTTATTCTCAAAGCTCAGCCTGAGATGAATCTAGGACAAATTTGCAGTGGTTCACTGGGATCGTTTCCAGTAACCTACAGGTATCAATCATACCATCAAAAGCATTTATAATTCCTAGCTACCTCTCAGTATTTACACAATACTGGATATTAGTTAGGTCATTTCACACCAACAACTTAAAGGTTCAACACATTAACTACTATAGAAACAACACACATACAGAATCACAGGAAGGGCTGAGGCTGGAAGGCCCCTCTAGAGGTCATGTAATCCAACTTCCCTGCTCAAAGCAGGGGCAGCTAGAACTATGCTGGGCCTTGCTTAAGGGGGTTTTGAGTATCTCCAAGGAAGGAGACTCCTTAACCTCTCTGGGTAACCTGTTCCAATATTTGACCATTTGACATCCTCACAGCAAAAGAAGTGTTTTCTTATGTTGAAGTGGAATTTCTCCTGTTGTAGTTTGTGCCCATTGCCTTGTCTAATCATGAAGCACCACTAAGAATATGCTCGCTGAGTCTTCTTTACTCCCTACCATCTGGTATACACACACATTCATAAGAT